TTTTTTTTTTTTTTTGGTACCAGGGATCGAACTTGGATCCTTCCGCTTGCAAGGCAGGTGGCAGAAACACTGAGCTAAATCCCTGGCCCAAAGTTTTAATTCTTAATTTTTACTTTTTTCTACTCTTTTCAAATTTTTACTTTTCTTTCTTTTATCTTTCCTTTCTCTCTCACTCTCACTCATTGTCTTGCTGTCCCACATTGCTCTTCATCTCCCTATTTGTTCTTTTCTGCACTGAATTTGGATTTCTCCTTTATTTTTCTTTTCGTCTCTTTTTCCTTCTCTTGATTATCATTAATTTTAAAGGAAAGTAAATACAGTATCTAGCCTCCCTGTTGCTGTTAGGTGAGTCTGTTCACCTCTTTGTTCTTTCATTCTGCCTTTTCCTCTTGCCTTTAAGAATTTCTTAGAGTTTGTGTGATCTTCCTGTGTCTTCTGGCCTCGCCACTAATCTTTACTGATCTTTCTACCTGTCCCTCCCTCCCCAACTCCTTCTAACTCCCCACCCCGAAGGGGAAAGATGCTATATTGAAGAGTTTATTCACTATAAACATATGTTGGGTTGGTCCTTGGTTTTGATTTAATTCACAGAGTTAAATGTGATAGATTAATAACTAACACAAATTGTCATTTTCTAAGCTGCACTTAATGCTATGGTTTGCTGATTGTATCATTTGGGCTAACATGTTGTGATTAATCTAATCAGTTTTCCTTCCTGGTATAATGAAAATAAAATAGCCTCAGAGTCATTAGAGTCTCAAAACCTAAACACGAGCTATATCTAGAAGACACCTCTGAAAAGCAGTCATTCCACAAGGGTTTTAAACACAAGCACACTACATTAAGCAATTTTGAAATATCAACCCAGGAATTAAACCAAGGACAGTACCAAAAACAAAAATGAGAAGAGATTTAAGCAAGGCACAAATGCAGGCTTCCACACCACAAAAAAGAAATTCTGGGGGAAATGAAGTTGAAAATTTGATAATCAACCACCTGGACACCCTGAACTGATAGCACAGGAAGTAACAAAGCAGATGCACGAGGCTCTAGAAAAATTCAAAGCAGAAATAATCTCCCAGATAAATACAGATATGGTGAGCAGAGTGAAAGACATGATTAGAGGTTCTAGAGCAGAAACAGATAAGAAAATAGATGAAATCAGAAACATTTTGGAAGCCATGAATGCCCAGCATAAGAAAGAAATGGAATCCATGAAACAGATTCAAACAGATATTCAGGAGATTAAAAACTCCATTGAAAGCATG